GCAGCAGCGTCCCCGGGGCTCGCTCACCTGGGTCCTAGAATCCACCTCCTCCTCCTCTTCGGCCGGCTCCAACTGGCCTCTGCCTGCAGCAGCTGGCCACAGGGACAGGGATCCTGCAGAGCTGCCGGGCAGAGGAAAAGTGCCTCCCCACGCCCGCTGCCCCCTCCCCTGAGCAACAGGCTGCCGAACAGCAGACAAAAGCAGCCTCTCCGCCCCTCCTCCCCCTATACATGCTGGGCTCCCTGGGCAAACAAAGACTCCACCAAAACAAACAAAGTGCTGGCCTCATTGTGTTAGCAAAAAAAGGACCCTCCTCCTAGAACCCTGGGTGGTGTGTGGAAATAAAGCTATTAGCTCAAAGCATGGTGCAGAGCTGTTTGGTATTTGATGAGTTACTCTTTTAGTCCTGAGTTTGTCACAGGGACAGAAATAGATGTGAAATCTTCTGAACAGGGGAACAGACAGCAAAACAAACATTAGAGGGGAGTTAACCTTTCCCTATGCTATCCAAAACTAAAAAAAATGTTTGGCTAGAGTTTCCCCTACAATATGTACCAGTTCCGACTTACATACAAATTCAACTTAAGAACAAACCCACAGTCCCTATCTTGTACGTAACCCGGGGACTGCCTGTAGCCCCTATTTCGTGTCTACACAGTGCTCATTTTGAAATAGGCACTATTCCTTGTGGAATGAGGTTTACCAAATTTGAAATAAGTGTTCCGCTATTTCGACTTAATTTTGAAATAGTGGCTGGCTTGTATAGACGCTAGTACAGTTATTTTGAAATAATGGCTGTTATTTCAAAATAACTTTGCTGTGTAGACATACCCTAAGTTAATAAACCTGTAGTTAGTTTGCTATAGATTTGACTGCCAATATTGTCTTTGATGTAAGATTTGATGTATGGATTGATCTGGCTTGAGTGAATGGTGTCTTAAGACTGGAAGAAATCTGACGTGCTGTTAAGTTTCAGAGGGGTAGACATGTCAGTCTGTTTTAGCACAGACAATGAGGTGTCCTGTGGCCCCTTAATGACTATCAAGTTTATTTGGTAGCACTTTATAGACTAACCAAATATACAGATGATATCATGAGCTTTTGTGGGCACAGCCCACTTCTTCAGATGACAGTGGTTGTGCCCATGGAAGCTCATGATACCATCTACATGTTTTGTTAGTCTATAAAGTGCTACCAGACCATTTGCTGTTTTTTCCTGTACAGACTGACTCAGCTACCCCCTGAAGTTTATCTGGGCATAAGCTTTCATGGGCTGGAGCCCATTTCATCAGATGCAGTCCATGAAAACTTGTGCCCAAATAAATGAGTTTGTCTTTAAGGTGTCACTGGACTCCTTGTTGTTTTTGCTAATGTGGTGTGATGGTTTTTTGTTTGTTTTACTAATCTTTTATCACAAAGTTCATTTTGTCTGGATGTCAAAGTGATTGGAGAGGCTACCGGGACTGTCTGTGACTCCAGACTGGTATAGTGATCCAGGAGACCCACATGCTGTTAATGGCTTGGTGAAATCTAATTATAGACTGTCAGGTGTCTGTGGTGTGACACCTTCTTTTCTGACAGCCTGCCCTGAGATTGGCACTTACAATTGTGATTTACTCCAGACCACTTGACAGTCTTGTTTTAGGAAATAACAGGGTGATAGAAGTTTTCACAAGACATAACTGAGTTATGATAATCTTATAAAACAGAAAGAAACTACATGACCTAAGGAGCCAGAATATGACTGTCTCAAACTTGTATGGGCCAATTTTGTGAGCTCCTTCCATACAGTGGGGCTGGGATCCCGGTTGTGTGGCAGTGGGGCTGGGAGCCCCTCATGTGACAATGGGACTGCCCATCAGGGCTGTATGGACTTCCTGGTGGGGCTGGAAGCCCAGTGTGACTAGGGCAGCAAGGCCAACAACAGGGGAGGGCTGGCCACGAGACCAGTGGCCAGGTTTGGGGGAAGAACAGAGGCAGAAGGATTAGAAGTGACCTCTTCAAAATCTTTCATCCAGAACTGGTCAGGTTTCCAGGCTGCCAGACCAAAGAGGACCAACCTGTAATTTAACTGCAATGAAAATTTCCTCATACTGCACGTAAGAAATTAGAATGGAGTTTGCCAGTTAGGCTATGTCTAGACTGCAGAGTTATATCAGAAATGTTTTTTTTTTTTTTTTGGAAGAGGCTTTTCTGAAAATTGTCCCATCTACACAGGGCCAAATTTCAGAAAAACCTCCTCTTTTGAAACATCCCTTATTCCTCATACAATGAGGAATGCAGGGATGTTTCAAAACAGCAGATGCATTCCTTGGACACAGTATCCTGGAACAGGTCTTTAGTGTAGACATAGCCTTAGCTGTACAATGGATATGTATGTTCTAATTCTACATTAAACTACAACATTTAAATTAAAGACTTTGACATTCAGATTTCAGTCTCATCTATAAACTTCAACTGTGGAAATGTAAGTTCTGCTTTGTATTCTGTCTTTGCTGAGTTAAAATCAGGTGCTGAATCTTCTTTCTTTTTGGGAGAAATTAATCTAAACAAACCTGTCACTTCTAAGATAGGGGAAGTATTCTGCTGAATTATTCATGCAATAAGACTGTTTTTGTCCCATAATATTGCTTTCTGTAGAACTGGCACCCTTCTGTTATGCTCTGCAACCAGGCTTTGAGAAGCCCAGAATTTCTGAATCCCCTGATGAGAGAAACTCCAGCTGGTTAGAAGGTTGAATTAAATTCCATATGCAATGTACAGTACCAATTACTAGGATATTGTGAGGTCGATTTGATAAAAGATAAATCAGACAAAAATGTGCAATTCTTGTTTGGAACTGTATCTAGAAATATCAAATGTCCTCAGAAAGGTTTAAGATATACAATTTATCTCTCCTAGCCTGGAGAATGACCCAGTAAAATTAAGCGCCAGAAAGGTGTGGATAAAACTGGCTTTCAGAAAGGCTGATCAGCAAAACAAATTGTGAGTTCACTCATTAAAAGGAGTAGCAATAAAAATGCACTACCCAGGAAAGGAAGTAGATTTGGTAGTTGGGAACTTTCAGTTGGTCAAGATGTTGGAGAATAAATTGGAAGCCTGAAGAGTATTGCCCATGATTAAAATTATATCAAATTATTCCAAGTGATCTTGGCAACAAGCATCTGTCAAGGAACCAGTTGGATACACCCTGAGGATTAGAAGCTTGTCTGCTGCCACCCTCTGCACAGAACAGTTTTTGAGGCTACTCGCAAGACATTTTGTCGTCATAATTCCATCAGACCCACCATTCTCCATGACAGGCAGCAACAACTAACTGAAAGTTAGGAGAGAGTTTCATGATATTGCACAGCTCTTTCATGGCCCAGGTGGTAGTGACTTCACTCATGTCAGAAGGGTAAACTTCTTCATGGAATGAGGTGAAAGAGACTGAAACTCTTCCCATTTTCATATCAAAAGACAGGGCATCTGGCATGCTAATTGCCTAATCACAGGCAAAGAAGCCTGTTAACCAGGAGAATGTCACAAGTAATGCATAAACTTAAAAAAACAACAAATAGTCTGGTAGCACTTTAAAGACTAACAAAACATGTAGATGGTATCATGAGCTTTCATGGGCACAGCCCACTTCTTCAGATGACCAGAGTGTTGGATATCCAAGAACCAAAATAAATAGAGGAGAAAGGAGTGTGGTGGAAGAAGGAAAAAATGGGAGGTGGACAAAAAAGGCAGTGGGTAAAAAATATCAAGGGGAAAGAAGAGCTAGAATGTAATAGGAAAAACAAATAGTTTTTAAGTACCTAAAGCAGGGATTCTTAACCAGTGAGGTGTGCCTCCCAGAGGATACAGAGGAGGTGTGAGGTGCCTCCCAGAAAATTTATCGCAATTGCCTTCTCACTGGATAAAATTCTAAAGTTTAGATTTCTTCATAATTAATATTATGAATTAAAATTATAAACATTAATTTCTTATTAACTTCTAGAGATCGGCACACTACAATAGCAGTGCGACCCAATCAGGCCTATGTGACGACACACTACAATAACAGCACATGAGGATTGCCGACTTTCATCTTCAAATATTATGTAAATTTGTTAGGACAAAGTTCAAAGTAAAAAGCTCATATTATTCATTTAGGCATTGTAACGGGGTTCACTCACCCCACAGCGCCACCAGCCGTCGGACTTGGGAATTAGCTTGGATGGCTGCGTCCAGCATCCAGGTGGTTTGCCAGATCCCAGGGTTCAGCCAGGCATTGGGGTTCGAGCCGGGCCTTCAGCTCAGGCCGGTTTTCCGAATCACCAGGCACCAGTAGAGCCTTGGGTTCCTCTAGGTCACTAGGTTCCTCTTCATTGATATTTTTGTTTCCTTTGTCTGCATTCTTTCACAACATTCTTTGTCAGCCATTATTTCACAACATTCTTTGTTTCCAGGATCATTTCAAAAATATTACCAAGCTCATGGCTGAAGCACTGAGAGAGAAGCAGTGGGGGAGGGGTGCTAGTGTTAAAATTTCCATGACACCAGATTTTCACTGGGAGCAGACTGTCACACAGGCTATGTCTACACTACAAAGAAAAGTAAAAAAAAAAATACACAAATTGCGAACCACAATTTGTGTATCTTTTTCTGCTTTTCTTCCAAAAGAGGCTTTTCCGACATTTGACCTGTCTACACGGGGCCAAATGTTGGGAAAAAAGTCTTTCAGAACATCCCTTCTTCCTCATAGAACAAGGTTTACAGGGATGCCGAAAAAGCACATCTGCTTTTCCAATTTTTTTTTTCTGGAAAAACAGATGCATTCCTTGGATGTGGCAGAGTTTTTCTGGGATAGAAAAGCTCTGCAGTGTAGACATAGCCACAGTCACTTTTTTGTTGCTAAGGGACATGGCATTGTGATTGTGCATTGGCTCAAGTGGATTCTTCACGGATCCATTTCTTGTGGCTTCTGCAGAGTAGCTTCGCACTGGGGCCGTGTCCAGACTCAGGGGTTTTTTCGGGAAAAGTAGCCTTTTCCCGAAAAAACTTCCCCTGCATCCAGACTCAAGCCGCGTTCTTTCGAAATT